GATCTCTTAGTCTAGAGGGAATCAATAATGAGAAAAGAGGTGAAAAGTTCAGAACGGCTGAGTGCAGCAGCCATGACGACGACTACTACTTTATTTTTTTTAAAAGCAACAGTAACACGTGCAGAGATGTTTGCCACTGTATTCACAAATGTAGATATAAAAACCCATTAATCACAAAGCTGTTTTGTCCAGTGATATACGCACACGCACACACACACACACACCTGCAAAGCTGAAATTATACTGCTAAATTACTAATAAATATTAGTAATTTATTCATACTTGCTTGTCTTGTGTTATTCTGTTTATTTTATGCTCAACTCTTATGCTGGGGCATTGCTGATGTTTGGCTTATTTATCCTTACAGACTTGCTTGTTACAATCACGATGGAAAAATGGCCCCATCGTGTTTTTCCTTATTTTCTGTCATATGTATCATGTAACAATGGTGGATAATGATATTAAACATGGCCAAACTTTCAAATACAGAGGCCTGTGTGTCAACAAGTAAATCTCTGGGAGCCAAAGCCACAGCTTTTAAATCTGGATGATGATAGCAAGAGGGGGCAGTCCTAAAAATGAGTATCCCAGGCTCACCTGTGTTCATACCTTCTGTTTATGACAAACAGCCAATCAGAGGTAAGCTGGATTAAGGGAGCAGAAAGCGAGATAAAATGGCTCGTTGAGCTGAGGGGTTCCACCAAAGCTCAGTAAAAGATAAATGAGGCAAATTTATGAAGTATGAATCCTGCCCTCCTCTAATAAAGTCCAAGAATTAAAATACAGAGGTGGACATGAACATTATAGGTCACTTTTAATGATTTTTTGATTAGTTGCTCATTTGCAATATGCTCCCCTATGTAACAATGATTAAAAATAAACTCCCATGAGCTACCACATGAGATTACATGGTATTTATATGTGGCTCAGAGAGAAAAATCACTGTTTGAACTGGTTACTGGATGCTTCTGTTTAATGGCTCTCAGCAAAGCACCAGTCCAATACTGGTGATGATGACAATGATGCATAAAAGTTGGCTGTGACAAGGCGACTGAGAAAGTGGCGGCATGATTTCTCCAACAGGGACACACACTGTGGACACACACACAGAGCCAAAATAGGCAGATGGTGGCAATGATGATCACAATAACAGCCAATCGGTACAAGTTTGTGTGCATTTGGCTTAAATGCGTCGGGGAAATATGTTTCTCGCTTTGCACGCGTGTGTGTTTGTGTGTGTGCTGAGTTCGAATGGCACTGGGGAGAGGTAAGTCATTTCATTTCCTGGATGAAAGCCTGCTGCACCAAAAGCCAAGGGGCCTGCTGCTGACTCCCTGGAAAAGCTCCTCTCTTCCTCTCATCTCCCTCCCCCCCTCCTTGTTCATCAATTTCAACTGTCCACTCTGCGGCCCTCTGCTGTCACCTGCCCCTCTCTCACTTTTGTCCATTTCACTTCTTCCCACCCCTCAGTCTTATATATTTTCCTTCCCTCCCCCAACTCCTTCTTCTTCAAATTATTCTTCAATTGCTGCTCTGCAGTTCCCTCATTTCTCAGTCTCTCAATACAGTTTGGCCCTCCTCTTCTCTCCACCCCACCCCAAACCCCTCCACCCACACACACACACACACCACCCGTGCTCTGCCGCTGCAGAGTCAGCACTTCCGTTCCGCAGTCCTCTGCAGACAAACGAGTGTGCTGATTTACACTTTCACAGCCTGCCCTCGACAATTTTAGAGCACTTTTATTGTGCATGCAGTACCTTTGCTGTCTTTTAAGATTATAGAAACAACATCCACATAGCAGACACACGTGTGTACTCTACATGTATGCAAGGCATACATATGGGAGCAGAGAAAAAGCAAAAAAAACCATCAATCTTATGGAAAAAGTTTGAAGTATTAACAGTTGCTGGTGTTGCCAGCAACTGTTAATACTTCAAAATAATGCAAAAAGGCAGACACAGCTTATAAAAATAAAACTGTGTGTGTGTCTGTCCACGGTACATTTTTTTGTTCTTAAACAACAGAAAGAAGGGATACATTGATCATCATGCCCCTCTGCAGCAGGCCTTAATCAGAACCATTTATCCCCTGTATCACACACACAGAGACACACACAGATGTTTGGAGCTCGTTATTACTTTCCATTAGGGCTTGGGGCTAGCTGTAATAAGGCCAGGCTGAGGGAGTTAGTGTTTTTTAGTGGAGGAGCACACAGTGGAATGGGAATAATATACACACATAGATATTTCTCATGTTGGCTGTTGATTAATACAAAGCCACAAGGTGAATGTGCATATATGAATCCAGTCACCATTTTTCCTTTTGTTTTGTTGCCCTAAGACACACACACACACACACACACACACAGCTGGAATCTGCAGATACCTACATGTGATATTTATTAGAATGATGGCCATATTAATACACAGCAAAGCGAGGGAGAATGTTCAAGCGTTCGGTACACTTAATGAGCACTTATCAAAGATTAATGTCTGAGCGCTAATGCAGCTTTATTTGCTGTAGCAGAGTGTGAGGACTGTGGGCTAGTTGGTAGTTCAAGGGGCGATTGCGGGATGATATATATTCTTTTTTTCGCTTGTTTACCAGATATAAAGTCCTGAGCTGGGGCCTCCAGAACATACGGGTACCCAGACCCTAGAGGACAAACAGACCACATAGCATAGTTAAATACAAGCAGTGTGTCACTGTCTGTGTGTTTGTGTGTATACACACTCTCTTCCCCCGCAAGCTTTTATTCCCTCAGTGTAAAAGAAAGAAAGCCATCTCTCTTTTATCCATTTTTCTACATAACATTATTAGTTTGTGATTGATGTGGGCCCTGTGCAAACTCAGCAGCACGACAAATGAACAAGCAGCGGAGGACGTAGGAGTGATGGAAGAACGCAAACCCCGAGACAGACGGATACGTGTTGGAAGAGTGGCGATGAGATGAAGGGGAGGAGCAGGAGGATGAGGAGCAGAGGGAGAAAGAGGGGGGGAAAGATGAAAAGAAGAGGGAGAAAGAAAAGGACGGCAGTTTAATAAGAAGAGTTGATAATGAATGATCCGATGTGAGAGAACATATACAAATATTATAACACTGAAGGATAAAAGGCCACTTGGTCATGTTTACTTCATAAATTAACTGTTTGTTAATCGGTGTCCAAGAACCGTGGTCCAAGCTAACAAACCACGGGCAGGGCTGACCCATCAAGCTTTAGATCTCCTCTTGCCAGTGCAGTGTAAAGGAGATGTACTTATGAACAGGTTAAAGGGTGTTATTAACACTTTGCACATGACCCCAAATGATCAGTAAACCTGGTGGGGAGGAAACAAACACAAAAACCCACAAAGTTTCTGTCATGTTAGAATTGATCTTGAGCCAGTGACAGCTGAATTTGAATAATGTGGTCACAGAAGTAACTCCAGACACGTCTTTGAAGGAAACATATACAACAACGTCACAAGTAAGTTGTCTCACAGTAAATGGGACTCAAGTCCAGGTAGTTGGCTGATTTATGGCTGATGGCCATAAACACAAGTTTTAAAAAAGTAAAGGAGAGACAGGAGAAACACCATTCAACCATGTCATGAGTGCATTGTTTGTCCACCAGAGGGGGCTCTGCAACTTCTCAGCTAGCAACCACCCAGATGATCTGAGCAGAGGCGGGCAGAGCGTGAATGAGTAAGTAAATAACTACACATAACTGTTTGGGAAAATCTGTTTATGTTTTGTTTGCCAGAAATGTTTTTTTTTGCCTGTTATACTTTTAGCACAAAATCTCTATTTTCTACTCCTTACACTTTAACAGGCTCATTACTTTAGATTTAAGACATTTAAGAAGACGTACTAAATATTATTTTCCGGTAATCTGAGTTAGATGTTTTTCTTTCTTTCTTTCTCTTTTTTTAAAAAAATTCTTTTCATTTTTCTCGGCTGGTGCTTCACATAAATAAATGTTAAATCTGGATAGAGTTATAAGAATTAGAACATACGTTGAAATAAAGCTTGCTTGTATTAATATCGGTTTATTACAATATCAGTGACGTAAGGTTCAGTTAGCTTGACAAAAAAAAAAAAGAAAAAAAAGAAAAAGAAGAAAAAGAGCTCATAGAAATCTTCTTCTAAGAGCTGTTTTTGTTTTCTTTTATACTTTTCAGAGCCTGCCTGTTTTTACTTTTGAGTTATTATACTTTTAATCAGAGTAACTTTTTATTTAAGGTCAGTTCCACGTTGGAAATACTTGAGCTTAAATTAGTCTTATAATAAACAACTTGGGCCCATTATCAGCTAATGTACATCCCCACGTAAAAAATCTTGGTTTCATCTTTGATTCTACCCTCAAGCTGGACAAGCAAATTAATTCAGTTGTTCGTGGCAGTTTTTTCCAACTCAGGAGCATTTCTAAACTCAAAAATATCCTGTCATCTAAAGAACTGGAAACTGTTATCCATGCTTTCATATCATCACGTCTTGACTACTGTAACTCTCTCTACTTAGGCATCTGTCACTCAAGCCTTCCCCGCCTGCAACTTGTTCATAATGCAGCCGCAAGGCTCCTGACGGGTACCAGAAAGAGAGAGTGTATTACTCCGATACTCGCATTGGCTGCCAAGTAAATATAGAACTGATTTTAAGGTTTTATTATTTGTTTTTAAAGCTCTCCATGGTTTGGCTCCAGGTTACATTTCAGATCTTCTTAGCCTCCACCTACCCACTCGAACTCTGCGCTCCTCCAGTCAGATGCTGTTATTAGTTTCACACTTCCAGTTCAAATCTAGAGGTTACAGGGCTTTCTCCATTGCTGCCCCGAGACTCTGGAACAGTCTTCCCCCTTTCATAAAATCCTCTTCATCCTTGGAAGACCAACCCATTTTCTAAGGCTTTCGGATCTCTCTGACACCTTTTATTCTGTTTCAGCTATTCTGGTCTTTTATCTCATTGGCTGATGTTTGCATGTGTATACATGTATACATGTATTTTATGTTCACATATGTGTGCTTGTGTGTGAATGTGTACATTTTTGTATATGTACGTGCATATTTGCATGTACAGATATTTTTTACAAACATATATGGATGTGTTACAATGTTTCTGTAATGTTTTCATCTTATCTATTTTAATTCTTTTTATTATATTATCCCTCTGTTCAGCACTTTGGCTGACACTTGAAGTCTTTTAAATGTGCTATATAAATAAAGATGACTTGACTTAAATTATGTGGATCTTTTTCATATGGATACATATGTGTGAGTTTGCACTGCCTCAAGCTGACACATACAGCACCCATCCTCCAAGCGTTCCCTACGTGAAACATGTTCCCACAGTTATTTCACTGTTGTCAGACATACAGACGCTTGGGTTCAGTCGGCATTTGCCCGTTTCTGGTTCTGGACCAATCAACACTACTTGGAAAGTTTGCAAGTTGCTAGCCTACTGTAAGGGCAACACAATCAGCTCAAGATAACACCATCTTCTCTATTCTGCCACTTTGGTCCACGTTCAGCTCCTCCTCACTTCCCCTCACACACACACAGCGACAGCAGAGGAGAGAAACTATAGGCTAAACGAGCATGACAACAGCTGAAGTAACAGTTTAAAAAGAAAAGGGCAAGGGACTGAGCAAAGTTTTGGTTAATTATCCATTCTTATGTCATTATGTCTACTGAAACAATCTTTTATATGATCATAATCAAATAGTGTGGCCAGGATGAAATCTAATCAAAACTGAAACGTCGTGTTGAGGCCTTACATGAGCCTGTGCTGATCTGTACGTTAAATGTCAGCAGACAGCATCCCGTCTATGACGTCAGGAGAGCATCATAAACATATGACTCTCTGCTTTTAAAGCAAAGGGCAGACAAAGACACTGATGATAGATCTGCAGAGGAACAACCAGCAATAGCAAAAATCCATTGGTGCTGCAGCATGAAAAGCTGTATGCATCTCCTGCAGGTAGCCTGTCCTACAAAAAGGAAGACAATTACACTAGAAGAGGAAAAGTTCACTGCGCTCCTCCGAGTCTTGATACAAACCTGCAAAGTATGGGAAAAAACATGGATGTGTGTGGATGGTGGATTAGCTCTGGGCTCACTGATGATTAGATAGCAATAACTCAGAACATGGAGGCTCAGATGGATGGGGAAGGAGGGAGACACCCGCACAAACACACACTCATACCACAGATTATACCCAGCAGAGGCGAGGGGGAGGTGATGGATTGCCTACCGAGAGGGTAGTGAAGAGAGCTGAGTGGAGAGACAAGATTGAGAAGAGGTCAAATAAATGGAAGGGTGAGTAGAAAGAAGAGATGGAAGGAAAAAGAGAGAGAGAGGCTGCGGGTCCACAAGATAATTAGATGAAAGGAGAGAAGTGAAGGGGGAGTGGATTAGATATAACTAAGAGGTAAAGAAGGACAGATAAAGGAAGAGGGGGAGAAATGAAACAAGAGAAAAGATAAAGCAACATGAAAACAAAAATAAAAAAAATAAAAAACCTGCAAAGTAACAGAGAAAGTAGGACGCCGACTTCTCTGTGGCATTTGGAGTTTAATAAGCATTGATTTTACTGTGAGAGGGGCCGACTCTTAAAACCACATGTTGATATCACAATCCAAACTCATAAGATTAATGATGGCATTAATAAAACTTTGGCCCGCTTGGTTACAGCTGCAGTAAAAGCTGTCGGCAACACGCACAGGGCTTATTGATTTATACTTCTGCACTCACAAACTGTATCTCTGTAGACAAATTCCCATCCTACTGCACTTAATTAAGAAATAAATCTGGTATTTTATTGCATCTACCGAATGGCTGCTTTTAAAAGTGGGAGGACTGCAGTTTAGACTGTAATGTTGAAAAATCAACCTTTGTCAGTGACAACCAGTTTCTGAGGAATTAATCAGCGCTGTTACCAGTTTATTATATTGGTGAATGATTCACACTACACTGGCTTTCTCCTGGCCCAACTCTCAACTCCCCCTCCCCTAGTATCTGTCAACCCATCCTTCACCCTCAATGTGTTGCATTTTTCAAAATATTTCAAGTGGGCAGAGAGGAACCTGAACTGGGGAACTACATTATTCTTTAAAACAGCTCCTGGCAGATGTGGAAACTTGATGACTCTGGCAACCCAATGAGTCCCTCAGTGGTAGTTTCACTGTTTCTCCTTAGCCCATTGTCAACAGGAGATAGATGTGCAGGGGAGCAGTCACTGACATCACTGTCCACAAGGATAATGAATAATGTACCCACAGCCCAGGCCTCTTACAGCATAGAGCGATACGTGACCCATCAGTGTTGCTGTCAACTGGCAAGCCATGCTTGAGCCGATACTTTCGCTGGTATGTGCATTTCCCTGGGTCAAAAGGTCCCCAAGGGTCACAGACATCATAAGAGCAGAGAGACAACAGCAGCAACAAGTGCAAAGGAAACAAAAGTTTTACCTGTGCAAAGAAGTCCTAAAATTTCTGTATTGAAACTGCCATCATTCTACTTAGGCTAACTTAAGTCTATCCATCTGTTCATTATCACATGCTTTGAAGTTATTTTCTGATAAAAGAATTCATCTTGATATACTTTCACACACTTTTGATTGATTGAATCCAGTGTTAATGAGCGGCTGTAGCTCAGGCCGTACAGCCTCCTTGGGGTTC